TAACGTCTCCTGCCCCAACCCTGCAGGAGACGGGACCTCTATTTATTCATCCCTATCCGAGAAGACTAGAATATCTAACCATTTCTTGATGTTATAGCAAGGTAGCAAATTCTTCTCAATTATTTTAAGACCTTGAGTGTTGGTCTGGCCGGGGCTCGAACCCTCGACCTCCCGCACTACAGTCCAGCGCTCTATCCATTGAGCTAATGACTATAAGAATAATTATTATAATTATTATAATTATAATTATAATTATAGTAGTAACAATGATGGTGGTTATTTATATCAAAACAATTAAACTGTGACATTTATACTTATGATAAAGAAGATGGCGGTAAAATGTACAACAAATTCTTAAACAAGGACAATAAAAAGAAGCATGCTCACGATAACTGACATTTCATCTCTTGAATTTTATCATAAAAACAGGAATAAAGTTTGTTGACCCTTTAGATCCCAAGATCTGATTGTTAATTCTCCCCTCTGCTACACATTTCCTTGTTACGGTAATTAGTGATGGGAGTTAAGCATTAGGTTGAGATAACAACTTCTACCTTATTATTTTGAGTATTCTCACTAATTGTTACTGAGTCACAGCAGTAGAGCGAAGGCAACACAAGGTTCATATGCAACATGCATCAACCTGAATCTTTAATTCTGCGTAAACAGAATAAGAAAGATCTTTGTTACCTCATGAGGCTTGTGACAAGATGAAAAAGGTCTTTGTCTATCTCGCTTACAGCTTAAAATTTACCATCTTTCTTAGGAATATTAACACGCAATGCAATAACATATCATTGTGCAATGCAATAACATATCATTGCAGGTGGTGAAGGTGGCTCTATGCACACCAAACAATGTCCAGCTGTTAAGTTCATCCCAGAAGAGCCTGATGCTGGCAAGTGTTTCTTTAGCCAAAAGTGCAGCAAGCTCAAATGTGTGGCAGAGGCAGGTGGCCACAAATTAACTGCTGGTCTTAAAGTAAGCAGATGTGGTAAATCTCTTGTTGCGTCAGTTAAATTGCAGCAGCCAGAAGTTGACCTGGACTGGTTTGAGAGGCTGAAAGATGGTGAAAAGGCTAAATTGCCTATCAAAGCAAGTAGTTTTTCCGGAGGATTGGCAGTTTCTGATGCCAAGCTGTACGTGCAAGTTCAACTGAAGGAGATTCAAGACAACAAAGTCAATTTCACGGTAAGGATCACCAGATAATATATTTGGTCTGATTTTTGCCTTTTAACCAGATGGATCTTATGGAACAGGCAATTTCTGAGTTCCAAAAAGTCTTACTTTTAAAATGAGGCCCAGTGTGAGAACCTTCATATGAAAAAAAAACTAAATTTGCATGAGGATAAAAAGAAATCATTTCAGATCAAAAGCTCTGCACTTATGGTCATTTTTAAACAGAAGCTTTGTGCACCTCAAAAGTTGCCTGTTGGGTGGTTTCTAGGTAATACCTAGTGCCACAAGGTAATGGAATTAAAAGAAACCATAATTTTTGAAACCTGGTACCTTTATCTTGTTAGGTCACTCTGGTTGGGCATGTGACAGCATTAGGTGAAACTACCTCAGTGAATACTGTGCTGATTCAAGGACAGATCTTTGTATCATCTGTTGCAGACTGTGGTGAGTATCTGGGGCCACAACCCCCCTTCCTCTCCCCCCCAGAGGCACACTCCTTAGTTTGACCTTTAAATGGGTATGTCCTTCTAAACCAAGGTGGAGTTAAAAATTTTTCAAAATGAGGGATGGGGAGGGGAAATTTGTTACCCCCAGGATACCTACCTATTGGTGATGTAAACGTTCACGCCGTGTGTGAATAAAGGTGACTTATTGTCTCTGTGTGCATGTTGTTGAATATTGAGAAAATTATCGTACCAAGGGGGCATCCCTGGACCCCTTCAACTATGATGCTTTAAACAGGGTGTGGTTTCTGTAGTCTTGGAAATTAACCCTTTCCACCCCAATATCAGTATGCATATTCTCCATACTGTTCTCTATACATTTCCTAAGGTGCTGACAAGGAGAATTTGTTTAACAATCAAAAGCTTCTCTTGTTGGTGATCATTTTCGATATATTCTTGTCACCTTAATGTTAGATTCTGGGGTGATATTGTAAGGAGAAATTAGATGTTAAAATGCTTTGTGAATTGAGTGTTGCGTGGTCCATCATCAAGAATCCTCTTTCTTGAGAAATTATTATTAATCTATGCATCTTGCAGTGAGGAGTTTACTGTAAAGATAGACAGTAACTTATCTTAGTTCGAATTTAATTAATTTTTTTGGGACTCTGTTGTTGATTCAGGTTCGTGGTTTAGTGAACAGTCAACTGCCGTGAAAGTTCTTGTGATTTTGCTGCCATTAACCGCAGGGATTTTGGTGGCTCTCACTGTTGCCTTTTGCTGTTGTAAAAGAGGACGGGATGGCACTCGCCTATATGTTAACATATTCAAGTCTCGCAATGATGGCTTTGGAATGCGACGTTTGTCTAATGACATTTAATTTTTGTTAAAAAGGAAACTATCAAGTGTGCGTAAAGGCAAGTTTTAGAACTAGAAAATTGTCTTGTAATTGTCTCGAGTGCATTTTATTGACTGTCTCAGAACAGAAATGGAAGGAACGACCAATCAGAACAAAAAGGCGAATCTCATGAGCCAATGAAAATGCAATGTGTTCTGCACGCGAAAAAATGCACACGATCGAGTCGCGATTGGCTCGAGTTTTGCTTCTTATTGGTTAAGAAGTTCGAACGTTTCTTTTTTTTTTTTGACCGATCAAAGAGTGAGGTGAAGTAAAACCGATGTTATTCCGAGTTAATTCGGATACTTATTTGAGAAAATTTGTCGAAGCAGAGCTTCATTGACCTAAGTAATGAGGATAAAAAAAGAGCCCGGTATTTATATATTTATATCCATTTTTGCCGTATTGTTATGACCCTGAGACCGTGCAACGTCCCTGGGATTTTTTGCAAGGGGTAGGGGAGGGGAGGCGGGATATTATACTAAGGATTTTTTCGCAGCACGTACTGAGAGTAAAGTGTCTTGTAACGAACTTATTTACTGGTCTTTAACTCAAATAAAGTAAAGTAAAACAGGGCTCTTAAAAACCGTCAGTGGTAGCCTAGTAGTTGTGTCTGTGACCAACGAACACGGGCGGGATACAGTGCAAACTTCACTTGTATTGGATGGGTGACTGAAGCACGCAAGTTAAATTGTTTTGGTGGTACAATGTTACGAACCAATATTCACTTCTTTTAAATTACGAAAGGTAAACACTCATACTGTGGAGCTAAAGAAAACCATTCGTTGCACACAGAAATTATTCTTGTTTTATTGAGCTTGTACAGCTACACAAACGTGTTTAAAGAAAACCCTACATGAATGTAGATCTTTTTCTTACTAGATTCCAATGAATAACAACTCTAAGTATGTGGCTTATGTTTGGTTTCGTGCGGGAAACTTACCCAAAGTAGTAGAGAAGAGGCTCATTACGTTTCGCATGTGTAGCATTCATAACCGTGAAGGCTCGCAGTCTTTACAATGGTCAAGTAATAAAGTAACCTTCGAAGCTGATCATTATGGAGGCCTCTTTACACGTGTCGTTTTACAACTCCGATTTCCTCATCTGCTGTTGCATGACGCTGCGGTAAAAGGCTTCACTGAACAGGAAGAAACTTTTCCTCCATTTTGAATTGTGTAACGTAACTTAGATAAAATGTAATATTAAGAGCCACGAAAGTTTCGCCAGTGTTGCTTAGTTAAGACGACAGTATTTCTTCTTATCATTTCACTGCAAAGTATTTTGTAGCGAGATTTCTCTAAAGGCAACGCGGTTCAGGAGACTGAAAATTTCAGCCCGCGGCCCGTATTCGCGATATTGGTGGGAATAGTTATTATTAGTATATACTAACACAGTGAATAGCGTTGAAGGCGCGCTCTGATTGGCTAGTCAAACTCCGAATATCCTTTGCTATTTACCTCCGAGCAACTCGGCAAAGAAATAACGTACCGGTTTGCATCCGTGACAAGCGAAGAAAGTCACTCAAATTAACGACGGTGGTGTATATTATCTCACTGTTTTAGTGTTATATTATCTCCCTGTTTTAGTGTATACTAAAACAACTATTCACCTCAGTGTCGGTGGTTAGCGGTGGATATTTACCGAGCCGCTTCGCGGCTCGGTAAATATCCACCACTAACCACCTCCACTTCGATGAATAGTTAAATATACATTCTCATTGAACAAAATACGGGAATTGGAGCTGACTACATTGAGAGCTGTGTACGAAAGTAGGTTCATCCCAAGGAAAGGACCTACTTAACGGAAATTCTCAGCGTAATCTGTGAACATTTTGTATTAAGACTCTTGATGTCTAAGCCTTCATTTTTGATGCAGGAGTTTACTGCGAGTGGTTATGATCTAAGATTACATTGGAATCTATCAGCTTTAACCTTTTCCCTTGGAAGAAACGTTTTTAGTTTGCTTACATCTTGATCGGACAAAGGTCAATTCATGGCAAAACGTTTATTTTCGAGTACAAAATGTTTCGCTGGAATAAAAACAAACGACAACAAAGAGCGGAATGAGTTTCTTTTTCTCTGTTTCATGTAAAGGCTGATATCTGGGAGTTTCTCCACAGAAAAGAAACAACTTGCAAGAATTGTGGTCTAGGGTCGTTGCAGTGCAACTAAGTTTAATCGTTTTGGTAGTAAAGTATTGCATGTCACACTGAACAATCTACAAACTCAACCTTAAGTAATGAAATAAAAAAAAACCCTTAGTTCATGATTAATAAGAATACAAATTACAGCTCTCTTGATCTCACGCTTTGACCTCATCACACTACAAACTACTAGGCTATGCACTGTAAATCAACTAGGTCTTGAGGAGTTTTAAGTTAACCCTCGTCTATGTCACCTCTAAACCATTTTCTTCTGTGAATGATTTACACAAATAGTTAACTACGTCTACTGAGAACTGTGACGGAAAGCAAAGCTTGGGTACTACTCCTCGTTGACCAGCGGTTCCATTGGAACCTTGGACTTCACCTCGCTTGTGGCCTCGTCATAGGATGGAGGCTTCACTTTCAGGGTGCCAACGGGTGCGGCTCGGCGCTTCTTGCAGCAGTAAACCATACCAGAGATCAACAACAAGAGGCCTAAGATAGCGCTTATGACAACAGCGGCCTTAACGGCTCCAGGTTGGCGTTTGAACCAGGCATAAGCCCCTGGAAAAGAAAACCACAGGCATTGCTTGCGACAAGAAATTATCAAAAGTTTCTCTCTTGCTTATAATGATTGCGCTATGATGACAAACTACTCAAATAGAGGAGCGGTAACCTAAGATATGCGCGCCCTTCTCTGGATGGAGGTTTGAGTGCAGTCGAAGTCTGACCAAAGTTACTCTGTTTCGTTATTGGGACAGAAACTTTTTGTCACTAACTTTTTTCCTTGAAGCTCTTTTCTTCATACTGCATCCAACCACCCACCCCTCTCTCCGCTATAAATTTTCTTTTCTTGTCCCCAGACTCCAAAGAGAAGCAGGCAGCCGCGAGTAGCTAGGAAGTTGAGTACTTACTGCTGCAGCGTCCCCTGTGATGACCTTTGTACCCATCATGGTCTCCCTCGTCGTGGTAATCTTCCTTCATTGGCAGTTTGCCTCGCAACACCGGCTCGTCCGTCAACTTTATATCACCCACAGATCCAGACAAGTCCAGCTGAAGAGGAAACGATGAAAGAAGATAACCCAGATTGTATTACCTTCATCCTCAGGTATTTAGAATAAATAATGAATGACAAAGACAAGAAAAGATGAGATGAACAACAAAATTGTTTATTGATTGGCGCGAGAAGAAAATAAAAAGAGACAAAAGGAGCCTGGATACGAAACCGCTTCTAATAAATACAGAAAAATCAATCGTCGCCTTTCATACTCTGCTTAAAATGTTTTTTTTTTTTTTTTGGTGGAACAATTCCTTGAAGGTAATCAGTACAAAATTCTATGGATATCTTTACCTCGAAAGTAATTCCTTTCGCAGTCTTATTCATCGTCAGGGACACAAACATTCCCTTCATCGGAGATCCTTCCACCTTATACTTTTTCCCACTCTGGAGGGTCTGCTTCCAGAAAAAACCAAGCGCCTTCACGTTCACTTCGACCTCCGCGCTCACTGGACCTTTGGACCTGTCAATCTTGAGGACAAACTCCACAGTTTCACCCAAGAAGTCACTGTTGCAGGAGAAAGTGTCGCACGTCCTAGATACGCTGCATATGAAAGGCACTTTTTTAGATGTCGTCAGTTCAGGGCATTCTTCTTTCTTTCCATGACGACGACCCTTACCACCGTGCCCACGGTGTCCACCTTTGGCTGAGATGAATTAAAATCATTCTTGTTAGATATGAGATGGCAGGTTGTTTTGAATTTGGAGCGAGGCAGCTTCACTTGTTCCTAACATCAGAGCCACAATTACATGTAGCAAACTGAATCCTAATGTTTCTTGCAACTTTTTAAACAACGCGTGCGGACAGAAACACTCACAAAAACTTTTAAAAAGGCCTACACTTGCTTTAATGAAAATGGCGAAAGGTTTACATGTGATGCGTGAATCTTGTAGAAACGTGAGGTAAAGAGAGTTTTGGAATTTTCCCTCCTAATTTCGTGAAGTGTGAAATACCGTTTAAAATACACGTGACGCGTGAATAATTCTAAAAATTCAGTGGTGCGTGGAACGGTATCACGAACCCTACCATCTTCAATGTTGAGTTTCCATACCTAGTTTCTGTTTGATGTCTGGAAATCGTCTTAAAACAGGAGGATTACTCGAAAGAAAAACAAAACTCAGCTTTAAGATTGTCAGAGTCAGCTCAGTTAGGAAGAAGTCGATCTTTCCGTGATTTCTTCTACCTGTTCAATTCTGAAAAGTAGAAGTTGTTTATCGGAGGCTGGTTTGGCTAACTGTTCCTGTGCTAAAAACAGTCGAATTTCGATGAATTTTTCTTAGAAAGCCGAGTTTAATGAGAGAATTTCATAAAACTTTCTTCTAGCTCTGCTCACCAGGAGAAGTTGATAGATTTTTAACAGTAGTCGAACGCTTACCTCTGACGACGAACTTTAAAAGAATTTCTGAAATTATGGCGAATTCGCGGGCGATTACACTGAGAGAATCCTAAACATTTCGTTCGATATATTTCGAGTTTAATAAAGAAAAAATGTGTCTTTTACTCTGCCCACACAAGGAAAGTCACAAGTTTTTCTTTTTCACTCAATGGTAGGAAATGTATTGTGTCGCCTGTTCTTGCACAAACTTGAATTGCACGAAGCTTGATCCATAAATAATCAGTGCTGTTCGGGCACTAACATCTGACTCACGCGAAAGAAGACCGCGAAAGGAGCTGAGATCGCTTGCAGTAACGTTATATTATTCTTGTATCATTAAACACTTCCTTATTTTACGAATTAACCGATACGACAATTTCCACAGAAAAAGGGTAGGGTTACTAAATTAAGACACATCAATCGACTCGGCAGCTTGTTTTTGTTTAGCTAATGGTTTCCTATCCAGCTGAAAGTCGGACACGAATTACTACAGCAAAAATGAAAAGTGTAAGAAAGCACATAACAATTCACTCCTCTTAATTTACAAGCCGAGAAAAGCTTTTTTGATATTTGATGGAGTATTTAGCTGGACTCCATTCGTTGCAGCAGCTGCTGTGAAGTTAACGCTTTTGGGGACAGGGGAGGGTGGAAGCGAATGGAAGAAAATTGGGGATGGTGAGAGAGGCTATTTAGAAGTTGAAGTAGTTTTCTTCACAAGTTATAACGCTTAGCTACATTCTATTTAAAGCTACGGGCCGACGAACGTTTAAAAAACGCTATGAGATTTTGCCGGAACAGTCGTTTGTCAAAGAGGTTCCGAGTAGGTCATGCGGAACAAGTTGGAGTACAAATCGAATGACGCAGCATCTTTCGTTCAGCGATTTTTTTTATCGGAAACCAAAATAACATCGTAGAACGACGCTAAAACCCAGAAGAATAGATATCTTGAAGGAAATGATATAATACTGTTCGGTGCAGGCAAAGAGGACTGTAATTGCCGATGACATGAAAAATTTATGCAAAGTCTACAACATAAGACAACGTCATTGAAGTGAAAATAAACAGATGCTGTACAGCGACGTAAAAACATGGAAGTGTTTTGCAGCTTAAAAACGAAATGCACGAAATTTCTATAAATTAGATCGTTTCACACTTACATGCAAGCTACGAATATTGCTGAAGACGACGACAAAACTGAGAAATTTTAGCCGCGAGTAATCCTTAACTGCAACATATGTAGCGGCCTGTAAACTCGTGAAAACTCCTACAGAGCCGAAATGAAGGGCTTGCTTCGTTTAACTGCAAAGTTTAACCTTTCAGAATTTTCCACGAAAATTTTACTACGCCTATTAAATACAAATCCTTCATCTGATGGGAAAACTCCTAGCAAGGTAGCGCCAATCCATGAGGTTTTGCCCAGAGTTACATAACTGTTCTGATGTTCTAGCTTTTACACGGTCATCAGCACTACAGCTTATCGAAAATACCTCAAAAATTTGGTACTACGCTTGATATTTTCTCGTATATATAAATTCAAACAATCTTACGTTTAACTGTCTGTTTTATCTATGAAAAACTCACCCAAAACAGTGGAAACCAGGCCCACAATTAACAAAGCGGTGTAAAATTTAAACTCCATCTTTTCGCCTTCGCCTCGAACTGACAGCCGCAAATTATTATTCATCACTAGACCCCTCACGGTTTACGTCACTTGGTTACCAGGCAACCAAGGCAAGATAAAAGGAGTAACAAAAGCGGTATTTATTTCCTCACGAAACCTGAACCAATGAGTTACTGCGATGAACAAAGAGAAGACTAAATTGATCAAAACAACCTGACGTAATGAACTTTATTTAAGATTTCGCAAACGTGAGAGGAATAAGTGACACGCAACGGCACACCACGAGAAAATACTTATTTTGCCAGAAGGTAACCCCTATATTTATTATTAACGCAGAAATAAATTAAAGTTGTTATTATCTGTGTCATACGAAGGACCCTAGGGCGCTTCTCTGCTGAGACAGGATTAACTGGAGGAGGAGATTTTTATTTTTAGTGCAGACTGCTCCAAGAAGGGATTATCGGTGTGTTAAGGGGAGGGGTGAGGGAGTTTTATGTTTACAATCAATTCACTTCGCTGGATGCAATGCAACTGTAAACCAATAGAAGATAGTCTATTGACATCTTTGATGCGTTGCAAAAGATACTCTCTTTTGCAGACATTTTTCCGTAAAGAGAAAATTTTAAAATATCAATGAAAAATTCAATCACACAAAAAAATTAAGTTAGAGAAAACTTGGTGTTTTCAACACTTTGTATATTTTCCAACAGTAGAATGTAAAAATGTACTTCAGTCTATGATCTTATCAAAAGTTTTTAATCAAAAATTACACCTTTTTCATAATACAACTCACTAATAGATGTAATACCAAGACTACACACTATACCCTTATTTTCACTGGCAACAGTCAGAAAGAAAACCAAAACTGTATATGCTCTAAATCTATGAGTCCCTTGTTTGAAGAACATCGATGAACATGACATTTCTTTGACTTAAAAACGGACACACTTGCGCCTTAAATTTCGTCGATCAGCGGTTGCATCGGGACTTTGGTTTTGGTAGAGGTAGCCTCGTCATAGGAAGGAGGCATGACCTTCACCTGGCCAGTGGTAGTAACTCGCTTCCTCTTGCAGCAAAAAGAAACAGTGAGTGCAACCAAAACTAAGAACACGACAGCACTTGTTATTATCAGCGCTTTGTACGGTGCGGGCAATTTCTTAAACTTGTTGTAGTTGTGCCCTGAGAAATAAAAGAAAATAAAAACCAAAAATACTTAAGACACATCTCCATGCCTCTCTTCGCGCACTGGCTTCTTCATGACGTGTGGTTTCCTTCCCATTATCCCTCTCCCTCTACTACGCGCTGCGCGCATCATGCAGGGGACTAGGAACAAGTCATATGGTCGACTGAAACAGAACTGGGCCCAGTTGTTTAAAGGCAGATAACGCTATTCAAAAGATAAATGGCTCAGTATCCAGCAAATGAGTGTTAACCAACCTTTGAACAACCGGGGCCTGCTTTTTTGATTACGGGAAACTTATGTTTGTTACAGAAGTAAATCTAACGGTTTTTTGCAGCAAAGAGAAGACTCTGGCCGGGATCTTCATGCTGCGAAAGTTAGGATGGCCGTATTTTCTTGAAATCTCTGCGTAAATGATGAGTTTCAGAGCGCTTCAGTGTACATAATAACTGGGAACATAGTAGTGGTGATAAATTGCGCGCCCCCGCTCATGTTAATCATTTGCTTTGCTACTATACGCCGAACAGGGTGTGCAGTGAAATGCTAGGGAATTTCCTTCGCAAAGTTGAAGAGTAACAAAACTATTATTAGACTTAATACTAATCCAGGGAAAAGAGAGAGAGAGAGAGAGAGAGAGAGAGAGAGATTGCAGTAAAAGTGCATGTGTGGTTCTACTTGACCAGCTAATGCGAACCTAACTTACCCCAGCCAATATTTAACAATTGGTTCATGCTTTAGCGTGCACTATCGAGTTATGGAGCACGTGGGAAGTTTCGAGAGCACGAAAGAAGCGTAAGAGTTGCCCGAGGCGATAGCCGAGGGCAACTCTAGCTTCTTGAGTGCTCTCCAAACTTCCCACGTGCTCCATAACTCGATAGTGCACAGCTGAAAGCATGAACCAATTGTTTTAGAACATAGCCGGTAGAATTGTGCATCAAATCCGACGGGAAAAATGGACAACAATATCAGTTGAAGCGAATCGTGACGGCGCTGATGCCGAGTCTCCTTTTCCTTTGTTTTTCTCTTTTTCTGCCTCATTTAAGAACTCTAGCCCAAGGGAAAAGGTCGAAACATTGTCTTCGTTTTCGGACTAGTAGGCCGAGTTTCTGTTTGTATCCATTATTGTCGCGAAATATATTATTTTTCCCGCGCTAACAATCGGCCGCTCGCGCGAAAAAAAAATTTCTGGCGAAGCGATTTGCTGACGCTGGCAGCGTGCACTATCGGGATTTTGAGCACGCTTACAAATATTGAATTTGATTGCGCGGTTCTGCTAGCTATGTTCTAAAGAGAGAGAGAGAGAGAGATAGAGAGAGATTGCAGTAAAAGCGCATGTGTGGTTCTACTTGACCAGCTAATGCGAACCTAACTTACCCCAGCCAAAATCGCAAATTATTATTTCAGGTTTCTCAATGTGGGGAATTTTTCCTTTAATAAGCGTTACTGTGTAAGGTGTCTTTGTCAAATCTGTCCAGCCCACCAGGTTAACCTAGTCATAAAACAAAAAAAGAACCCATATTCAAATTAAAAAAGAGTCGACTCGAAATATATCATCAATAACCGCCACTTGAAGTAAAAATGTTTTCAGATATTGTCCGTGGGCATCATCTGTTCCTGGATGCGAAGAGTTTTTGGAGAGTGAAGCTCTAAGAAACCTACGAGCTTCGAGGAACAGAGAATGTTCAAGGATAATTATACGAGCATCTTTTTGCGCCAGTGGAGGCTACTGTGTTTATCAAACTTTTTCTCCCGTTATGCGGATGAAAAATGTGTAGTTACAGCTTAATGTTTGCTCATGTGATCTTTACTTTTCAGCTATCTTAATGAACAAACAAACAAGTCGCTTGCTCTATGTCAATAGCTCAGGTAACACTTTCTCATCTTGAGCTTTATTTTTTAAAAGAACGCCTTTGTGGTAAAAGACGTATGGTTTGAAAATTGGGGAATATCACTTAAGGGATATCCACGATTGTTAAAAACTGGATCATTGGATAATACAATACAAGACTTTTAATTGGCTTAGCCATTATGGTATATGAGCCAATATACCATAAACTACAAACATGGTGAGCGTACGCGTCAGCTTTTAATTAAAAGGGAGCTAAGAAATTGAATAAAATTGATAATTTAATTTAATGTTTTTAATAAAACAATTATTCCACTCGCGCTTGATGGATATGAGATGATTTTAGCCAACTCGGCGCTATGCGCCTCGTTGGCTATCTATCATGACATATCCAACGCGCGCGATTGGAATAATTGTTAAATATTCCTAATGTTGGCTCGGGCATATTCGATCACGTGATGCGTTTATATAAATCATGCTTGAACAAAAATATTTGATGAATCATAGTGACCAATATACTTGACTTGAAAATCAACCAAAAAAGAACTTTTAACAGTAATTCAAATTGCAATGAGACGGGAGGTTACCTCGAAGCTAAGGGTATCATTATCTTTCGTCATGGCAACTCGAATGGAAGCATCAACCTTTCCGACTGGTAACCCTTCAATATCCAGTGGAAATCCGGGAACCTCAATTTGCTCTCCATCCTTTACGCTGGCCGACCAATCAAATCTAAGCTTCGGAACTGATAGGGTAACGTAAGCACTCATGGGATCATCCCATGGGTTAAAATCCACATTCAGTGTGATATCCTCGTTACTGAAAGGAGTTGAACACGTGATTTGTTCACAGTAATAAGACGTGGCGTTACATTTGATAGGAAGAGGAAGACTGGGGGCCAGTTCAAGACGACATTCGTCTTGCCAACCTTCGAAAAAAATAATAAATCAATTATGAATAATCAGTAGTGGTCAATACTAAATAGATAAAATTATCTGAAGGAAAATCGAAAGAAAAGCATAGGTCTTGCTTTTTATATATTTGAGCCTCTTCAAGACTTGTTCTAGTCTCTTGGAAAATTGGGGTCTTTGTATGCGGGTGTTTCTGTTAGAGACCTCTTTAACCGTTTAGCTCCCACCAGTGACCAAGACAGAATTTTTCCTCACATGATCATCGACACAATATCAAGCAGACAAGTAATGAGAATAAAGAAAAATATCAATTGGAGGATCAGTAGTTGATCCAATGCTAAATTCTCTAAACCAATATCAGAAGAATTGTATGGCAGACAGTAAGGAGATGATAGGGTTCCGCAAATCACACCGGGGCGACATAAATGAGGACTCAGCAAAACCAATGATCTGAAGGGTAGAACAGTGGCTCAGCACGTGCGTTTTAAAACTTTGTGCATTTCTCAGCCATTCTCCGTAAAACAGTACCGTGAAATCACCAAAATTTACGTGGTCTGGGAACAGAAACTCCAACGGCAAATTACTGAAGTCTTTATTTGAGACTCAAAGCCTCTTCCATTCGTTATGCTGAAGTAGGAGACACTAAACACTCTCAGCCATTTTCTAAATTCTAACTAAAATTATAACATAACCAAAGCAAAGCACGCGTTCTGATTGGTCAATTCAGCGTCCCCCATTTGTCCATGGGTGTACGCTGCTGACGTGAGCAAATGCAAAGACTAGTTTTCCGCGCGCGCTTGTTTTTGGTCACTTAAGATTTGTTAAATAAAAGGAAACTCTCGCTACACTGTATCAATGTTATGTTATAAAACAAATGGTAAACGCCACAGTGTACACTATTGAGTTATGGATACACTTGGGAGGTTTGCTAACCACTCAAGAAGATAGAGTCGCTCTCGGCTATCGTCTCGCGCGACTCTTACGCTTCTTTCGTGCTTAGCAACCTCCCGCGTGCATCCATAACTCAATAGTGTACGCTGTGGTGTTTACCGTTTGTTAAATATCGCTATATTTTAATCGACGTCTTCCTTCCTGCTAAAGATCCTATCATGAAGTGAAGAGCTGTAAATAGTGGAAGGAGGAAGTTGTAAAAACTTGTAGAAGAAACGAATACTGAATCCAGGAGTGTTCAAAAACACACACAGTCTCTGCAACGATATAACTCGCCGTGCACTTGAATCTATATCTTTCCCATTTCATCGGGCATCTTATGTAACAGCGCTAAAATCTCTCCGCTTTCTTTGAAATTACCGTGGCAGTCCCTTGCATGTAAATTAAATATATTTGGCCACTACGTAAAGCGATATACACTTAAAACGACAAGAATCTTATCCTCGATATCGGCACCGCAAGTACTAAAATTAAAACTACCCACTGAAGGTAACACTGTTAGGATATCGAATCGTATGGGCAACACGGTATAAAGTTTACAACGTTTAATTTGCAGCAGAAATAGGAAAAACTTCGATTTTTCCGCCCATAGCATTCGGTGGGAATTAAACATTAATCATACTGTACTTTCATTTTCCTTTTAATTAAAATTCTTTCTTAAAATGCACGTTTAAACGAATGACAACTTTGGTATACTGTATAACGTTTGAGCGATTTGATGATCTTGTTATTTAAAATTGAAAAAAAAAAGAAAACTGTTCTGTGTATCAGAGAGGTCTTCGCTCAGTGAAACTCGTCTTGCACCTAAATTGTCTAACGTGGCTGGCTTCGATCGATTATTCGAAATTTCCCTGATGTCCTTTCGAATCGTTAGAATCAATTATCATTCCGGTCTCCTGTTCCAAGTTCATCCATGGATAATTGGTTAGATATCCTCCACATGACAAATTGTGCTATTTTGTCAATTTGGATTTCCATGGAACTGAAAAGGTGTAAGCGTCATAAATCACTTTCAAACACGAAGCTTCGAATACAATGAAATCGATGACGCGTAAGGACTTTTCAGACGCACTACCGATCGGTTTATTCGAAACTCTTGGACTACTTAGAGGACACCTCACTAATAAAGATCTTAATTTACAGCTTTTAGTTTTCTCTACATTCTATGATGCAAATAAATGTCAAATGTTTGGCGAGGAACAAGACGACACGACTAATGTTTTTGTCCGGCCTTAACGTAAACAGTGTGAAAGTGAGTAAACTTGAAAGACAAAGCCAGTTTTGCATCGCACAGATGAATAAATTCCCAAAACATTTTTTAACCTATTTATAATTTTTGAATACGAAACGGATCATTCCTTACGCTCTCGCGGGGAAATGAACTTCCTCCGAAACATTAGCACCAGCGCATTGATATGACTCGTGATGGCGGAGGAAGCGTACATCGTCTTTAAGGTAACAAACATCACATGACATTGCTAAGCTCTTACCTAGTGTTGTCGATAAAAGACTAAAAACCAACAGGGAGAGAAGAGTCGTTGCCATGATCCTTAACTTGTAGTTTAACACAGGTGAAAATTGGATGTGTTCCTGTTTATATGTCTGCCTGCTCACTACGCTATTACAAAATTTAAATTGAAAATTTTATCAGTATGACGTCATGGTTCGAGAGTCACGCGATCTTGCCCGCTCACTACGCTGTCATGAAATTTAAATTGGAAATTTAATCAGTTTGACGTCATGATCCGAGAGTCAGGCGATCTTGAACCGCGCCTGGAACCCTTTCTGAAGAGATTAAAGAAAGAATCGACTTCCTCTGTTTTATTTTGGCAACGTCTCATGTGCAGTAATTGATAGAATGGTAAGAGACTCTTTGTAATTTGTTTTCAAACGCTGACGAATTATCGAAGTATTTTACATTATACACCATTCTTCGAATTCGTTGTTTGTTTGTGTTTTGTGTTTTTGTTTTTTTCAATTTGTCCCCCTTTTTTCTCCTTTTTTGCTGCGGAAGAGATCGGAGTCACGTCCAAAATACGACGTGACCATAATAGCTCCGGAAGTGGCAATGATTTGTCTGTTTTTAAACTTTTGCCCGTGACTTTGTTTATTTATCATGCGAGGGCGAGGGCCCTGGCATAATTAATTAATTGAAAAGGGAGCTCTAACTAGAAAAATCCTGCGCGAAAGGGTTTACTTCAAAAGGGAAACTCGGAAAAAAGATGACTTAGATTGATACGAAAAACTGCTTGACCTGGCAAAGGAGACTGCGCAATATTCCGTACACAAGACACTACAATATCTAATATTAGATAAAAAGTTCATATTTCTATTTCCGTTTCAAGTGTTGCCTTGCTAACATTTTATTTTAGATACTGAAATTTTGTGCAGTTTGTCTGTAATTATTCTAATTTGATTTGTAATTGTATCTGTTTTATTCCGTCTGAGTCGGTCTCATAAGAAAAGTCAGAAAACATATCTGTTTCGGAGTCAGGAGATTACTATAGTTTACAATCTCGTTCCCAGGGCCTTTACTTTTAGTTGGCGGTGGGACGGGAAAATGCCCTGGAAACGAGGTTGTATGGTTTAGGGACTAGTCATTATCATTCGCCTGGGAGGGGTGAGTGGGAGATCTTTTTTTGGGAGATGGCAGGTTTTCAGGCAGAACGGAGGGAGGGATCAGTCCTCGCCAAACTCGCCATTTGCCAACAGAATATAACGGGATGGCTATAGAATATTGACCGCCAATTAATTGGAAATGAACGGAGCAAGGATCATGAGAAAATTACATAGCGTTAGAGGAGATCCACAGATCCAAACCTGTCCCTCCCGTCCCCGCTTCCCAAAACAACGGTTTCTGCTAACAAAAGAAGCTTTTGCAAAACAAGAATTTTAGTCTTTATAAGTACTTAGGACTGGGAACAAGTTTGGTTGAGTGTTTTAGTCAACAAGGTATATGCAAATACCTTTTACTCAACTAAAATACAATTCTAAGAAAAGGAGGATATACTTCCGGGAACAATGTGAAACCGATTAAACCGGAAAATTCCAGAATCTTTGCTTTTTCAAGCTGAACCGAAGCTGAAGTTGAACACAAAGAAGTCAATCTCTCCGAATCATGGTTGCGTTCATGAATGGTTTTAAACAAGGTTTAAGCGTCCTTATGTAAAGTCAACTCATTTGCTCAGGATCAGGTATATATATTTTTAAATTTATATTTTCTTTTTCTCTCCAATTTCTTTTTGTCAGCGATTATTCATAACTGAGGGAAAGGGAACCCTAAAATGGTCTAAAATGAACAGTGTTAGAAGATTTTCTAACACTATTTTACAGTTGTTTGATAGACGTATTTTTCTATCACTCTTGTGCCGTTGATACTTCTTTTTTCCTTGATTTGATCTCTTGATGTTGCGGAATTTTTGTTCCGCTCGCTGGTTCAACTGAGGACTGTATCTATCACACAGTCTACGTTCTATTTTAACGCGGAGTTTATTCTTCTACCTCTCAAGGGTTCTACTATCGATCTGATTACAGTGTACGTGCACTTCAGTTTTTTTGCTGTCTTACACAATACAGTACTGTAATCTATCACATGCACAGCTTACAGTAATATAACTATTGTACGATATATCAAGCCTAATTCACATGATCCCTTCCTTATTTGGTTCAATTAGCGCGTGCAAAGTACATCACCTGATAAACTGTGCACTCAGTTCAATTTACTGAGAATTGATGCAATCTATCACGAAATCATTCAACTAATTCCTTTTACAATTAATATTTGACTTATTATTAATGAGCAACTAACTTATTCCCCGACACTTAATACAATTTAAAACTAACGGGAGTGGCTAAGTTCTAAGTGAAATGTTGTTGACCAGCTTATAAAGGTGTCACCCGCTAAGCTGTCAATCATCGTGCTTCGTAATCGTTTCTATCTTAACTAGCGAATCACGTTAAGTTACGTAAAACAGTTCCTGTCACTAACTTAGCTGTCAATCTTCATGCTTCGTCATCGTTTCTATCTTAACTAGCGAATCACGTTAAGTTACGTAAAACAGTTCCTACGTACTCAGCATGTACGAATCGCGTTAAGTTACGTAAAACAGTTCCTGTGTACTGAGCATGTACCTTCTAGTTGTTTACGCAGTTACAAAATCATTTTCTGTCTTAAATTTCTTAAATTATCAGCTTAGTTCTGGTAAAACAAAAACAAGATTGGCAATATAAAGATTATAAAAAAAACTGTTGCATAGATTAGAATTGCACTTAAATAGATGACTAAAACGAAAACAGCCCTTGAAGTTTGTTAGATAACAAGAGAATGAAATGAGGATTCAAGGAAGAAGGGGCGTACACAAGTACTGTTCCCAAAAAAACTACGTGGTCCTAGAACAAGTTATATATCTTAGTAACCAAGCGCGAGGGCCGTACTGGAAGAATATCGGCCCGAGGTCTTGATTTTATTCATTCTAGATTTTCATTTCATTCATTTCATACATTCGAAGAAGCCACCAAGCGCAGCGAGGTCCGTACAAAAAAGACCGAGGACCGATATTCTTCCAGTACGGTCCCGAGCAAGGTATTATACGACTGAAGTTCAAAGGGACACAAGTGCGGTATCATTCGGGACCATTTGGGACAGTGCCCGGTCCAATACTTAGAGAATATTGGACCGGCAATAGAGCATTTTGTTTGGTTGATTTTAGTTATTGGCCATCTGACCCGAGTTGTGTGATAAATCTAATTAAAACTCAGTGGGGAGAACGAAAAGTAAAACTTGTTTACCCTTAAGGTCACCTTAAACAAAAAAGAGGTGTTGAACCTGTCAAATCAAAATTTAAGAAACATTTTCTTGATTGTGAATTTGACATAGAATTTGATCTAAACCCGAGCCTGAGAATAGTCAAAAGTATCAGGGGTAGGAATTTCCAGGAATTCCTGTGCAAGATTAACTTTTACCAGAGCGATTCACTCTCTTCTTTATCAAGCAGAGCAACCTAATTGAAATATAGCTTATTGCAAGATAACCGAAATATTCTACCATAAGTTCTAATCACCGTAGAAACTGGATTTCTGCTTTCATGTCAAATTCACAACCACCATACGAAAAAGATGACAGAAATTCTACCTGTAAGATAAGACTACCATAAGGAATTGGAAATAGTTAATGCAACTTGCTTGGCCGAGGTAGGGCGTTGTTTTTTTGTTTTATTCTTTCAAACAAATTTATTTAAAGCATTTTCTTACGTTTACATACAAAACAGAAATTAATAAAAAAAATTGGAAAATAAAAAAAGAGAAAAAGATGCACATACACACACACCCTTATATAGTACAAATAGAAGAATATTAAGGCATAACACACGCGCAAAGCTATTACAGCAATACAGTTACCAAGTATATAAGGCAAGGCGTTGTACCCTTGAGACGTGCGAGAAAAAGAAAATTCAACCTCCGCTTTTAGGCTTGGCTAAATCTATATATTAGGGATTTATAATGACGAGTGTGATTCAAAATGTAAAACGAAAATACAGTTTACTTGAGGTTCAACTCCTACCGAATGCTACGGATTCAAAAATCGTAGCTTTTGCTACACGTCGATCATATAAAGTACTTGTAAATAGTCTTAGCTTTTAACCCCTAATACTCAACTGACGATTTTCCGTGTTTAAATAAAGCCTTACCTACTTGCTCACCTACCTATGTCTGCTGCAAATGAAACGTTATAAACGTGATACCATTTTGGCCCCATGACTCGATATTATAACTGTGTTATCCCACTATTTTAGTAATTGCAGTGCCAATATTGAGGATAAGGTTCTAATCGTGTTAAGTGTACATCACTTCACTTTTTGGTCATAAGTTGCATTAGAATAATTACATTGGTGGTTGTTGAAATTGTTGCCATGACAGCAGTAGACATTTTATGGGTGGGTTACATCAGAATGGTATTGTGGTTGGAGTTAAGACTGTTCAACTACATCACCCACAACAACAATAACAACAGCAACAACAACAGCAACAACAAAGGCCGATCCAAGCGATGAGTGAGACTACGATCACCGTTACTTTGATGGCTGTACTCTCTTTGTCCCACCAACTTGGATCTAAATATAAACAGTGTTGATTGAACTAAGTGAAGTGCACTTTGGTCTGAAATCTTTCACAATTTGAAATCACAAGCCTGATTTCAGAACATAATTGCATGAAATGAAGTCCAATTTTCACTTTATTACATCTATTTTAAAATAGCAGTTTTTTCTGCAAAAAATAAGTGTTTTAGAGCCAAAATTTGCAAAATTTGCAAAAGTGTCTTGTTTGGCTTTCCTATTCCAGAACTTTGATTGCATACTTTAAACAGGCCTTGAAGTTGGATTGGTTTGTTTTAGTGATGCTTTCGTTGTCATTATCTATTAACCTGTATCTAGACACAGGTTGAGAAAAAGGTGCAATTTAGAGGACAAATTAATGCGATTCCCTGATCAACTGCTGAGAACCAATCAAATTGCAAGAATAACCAATGATTTCAAAATAGATATAATCAAGAAATTTCCAAACGAATTTTTGTAAAAGAGAAGAATGTGTAGAAATTGAAAGTATAAGCTCGGCCTGAAAAGTACAAACGGATGGGTGTTAAGATTCAGAATTGAAGACTTACCACATTCGTCCGTCTTTATAGGCAAAGTTCCCGTTATCACTTTACTGTTGATCTTTCCTCCAGCCCACAGCCTTACCTGAAGGAAGATTAACAAGTCCATGTTGCGCTCTGCTTTACCTCGCTCCCAGTGTCCCTCAGTTAAAGAGACCCGTGAGAACGACACTGAAAGGAGAGTTAAGTTGTTGCACACGGCGAAATACTCCGCACGTGGTTATTAGACTTCTCAGGGTATATAGCTAGGTGTGTTCGTCTAGTTGGGAAAGGAGTTGAATTAATCTCGCTCTGTTCGGTCAGTAGTGTATTTATCTAACACACGAGCAGGCCCTCATTAATAACATAAAAGCTGCAGGACGTTCGTTTATCGGCTCGAAAGAGGACTTTTGAGACGGATGCTCTAATTTTGCTCAAGTGAGCATTTCCTTCGCTGCGATTGTGTATTCATATGATGAGTTTCACACGAGATTAGAGTATCACTGACCATTAAACCCAGTCTATCGTCGTACGGAGTGAGATTGACTTGAACGTAAACACCGCCAGGTACCGACGCGTTGAATTCTGGGACTTTAACAATATCGTCACTGGTGTAAGTATGGGACCAAGAGATGTGTAGATCAGGTACATCCATAGAGGCTGTTACACTGACCGGGTCATGGCAGTTATTGACCTTGCAGCCAAGACAAAATATCAGATTAAATTCGGTGACAACGGGAGATAAGAAGAATAAGCTTTCGGTTCCGTCTCCATTTAAATAATTTTTGAGTAAATTTACCCGTTAAAATAAACTATCACAACAATGTGCTTGATGGTGATCGGTCTAAAAACGCCTATTTTCCTCATATTCACTGGCCAATATATCATTGGACAATTTTATTAGCCAATCACATTCAAAGTTTATTTTAAATCAACCAATCACATTCTAATTTTGATTGTAGTCATTTTCAGAGCGGCATTAAATATTAAACACCTCCTTTTGTTAGTCTTAAAATGCATATTTCCCTTTTTTTTTTCATAAATTAGCCACTCTTCTTTTCTCGGAAATTGTAATTTCTATGATTCGTCGGTAACAAGACCTAGTGTCTTTCAATTCGTGAGAAACAAGTAAGACTCCCGCTGGTCGGTCGTCTGCTTTTTGTCATCACTCAATCCTTTCACCATTACTACGTCTTCAGTCAGATCAGTACTCTAATAACTTCTCTTCTTTCAAATGAGTAACAAGACTGATAAAGAAACTAAAAAAATCTACGAACACAAATACCTGCAACTTGTATGTTCTTGCTTTGTCCACTAACTTCGTTTTACATCTGATTGTATCGCAGTCCTCATTGATACTGCAGCCATCATCCAGCAAATCGAAACCACAAGTATTGCCTCTTTTTGCTTTGCAGACAAATGAGAAAATAAATTTAGAAGTTAGATTATAATTTCTCACATAACGTCCTGCCCTACCTGAGAAAACAAAATTAAGAGTATATTTTCGTTATTTTGCTATATCACCCTATTTAGCAAGAGGACGGGAACGTCATTTCAGACCGGAAAAGCGCGAGAAATGGTTTGCACACGAATGTATTTCGACTTACGGTGTTTGCGGTGCCGTTCTCCCAAACAAGTTCAGGATGTCATTTCGCTGGTTTTCCCGTCGCGATCAGAACGCCTGAGATTTGTGTAAACCGTGCACTAGTAAACGAGATGATACTGTTTGGGATGATTTCAAAACTCATTTCCAGGATAATCAGTTCACTTTCTTTGTTTTATTCAGCGTATTTGTGAAAATTTACCGCTACATTTGCGCTGGATTCCCGAAAGGAAATTGGAACACAATCATTAGCAAGCGATCCATGGTTTCAGGACTCAGCGTTTCATCGATGACTAGTTTGAGTTCGTTTCATTCTTTTATCGTTAAAGAAGAACTCATCGTAAACAAATCCGTCGTTGGGTCCATGATTTCCACCTGGTTTTGCCATAACTCCGTTCAAAAGAGATTTACCATACTGCCAGGGGAAAAACGACGACATATCATACTTATAAAATTATAAAGAAATATCAGTAGTCCTGAAATCTAGTGGCGCGAAACGAAATGACAGCTACACAACAGACACGAGACTTACTTGGAATGGAATAATTATAAAGACTAATCCGTGTAGATTCATATTAAGATCGTACTTCATGCGTAACTATAATTATCCTTTGTTTTCGCTAGTCGCAGAACTCTCAAAGAAGATAATTCGTTGTCCTTAAAGTTATTCGTGAAACCGAAAATGGCGATCTTTAAAGAGCTGAGATTAGGATATTCAATTTTAAATGCTGCATTGACGTCTCATTGGAACAACTCCTTTGTCACTTCTGAAAGACAACGGGGCAACGTTCTTGCCGGTATTTTACTGACGTTCCTGTCCTCTTGCTAAATCTCTCTAATCAACCTATTATCTGACGTCGCTTACTTCAATCGAATATTCGAAATTTCCCCAATTTCCGCATGAGTCATTGGAATCATAGATAATTGACCACTTTCATAAATGGCTGCCGAATTAATATTCTTTTGTTTAAATTTAAATTAGCCTTTCTGGCCTCGCTTGAGATAATGTACTCTCTTGAATTTTGTTCTGTAGAACGAGGCCAGAAAGGCTAATTTAATTGCAGTAAGCTATATTTCAATTAGGTTGCTCTGCTTAATAAAGAAGAGAGTGAATCGCTCTGGTAAAAGTTAATCTTGCACAGGAATTCCTGGAAATTCCTACCCCTGATACTTTTGACTATTCTCAGGCTCGGTTTTAGATCAAATTCTATGTCAAATTCACAATCAAGAAAATGTTTCTTAAATTTTGATTTGACACGTTCAACACCTCTTTTTTGCTTAAGGTGACCTTAAGGGTAAACAAGTTTTACTTTTCGTTCTCCCCACTGAGTTTTAATTAGATTTATCACACAAGATAAATCTAATTAAAGTGGTCTATTAGTTGAGTATACTCCAGATGACGTTGTGTTCTTTTGACCGTTTCTATTTTGATGAAACTAAAAAGGAAAGCGCGGTAGAAAGAGAGAAACGAGAAACTTGATAAATATTCATATCAAACATTTGTATAATTTCAGAGCCGAGCAATTAGTATAATTTCAGAGCCAAGCAAAGATCTTCCAGCAATCTGATTGGTCGAGCGGTTCCTTATATGACGCTCTATAAACCGCTCCACGCGGTTTATAGAGCGTAAAGGAAAATGTTAATAAATGTTACTAAAATGTTATGATTTTGGAAATGTCTCTGTTGTTCAGCTCTGAAATTATACTGAAACAATTATTCGCCTCAGGTTCGGTGAATATTGTCGAATAATCCCCTGAGGCAAATGATTGTTAATTAAGACATGCTTGAACATGTCCATGACGCATCAGAAAACGCAGTTTATTTAATCTTGGATTTTTGGTTTATTTGGATCTTAAATCCCTGGACTACTCAGGGAACACCTTGTTTAAGATCTTAATTAAATCTCCCCGTTCTACTTTCTATAATGCAAAAAGAACACTAAACCTCAAAATTGTGGCCTGAACAAGGCGACATAATCAATACTTCTGTTTGGCCTTTAATTAAACAGTGTAAATGTGTGAACGATGTAAACTTGAAAGATGAAACTAACTTTTTGCATCGCACAGATGAATAAACACCAGAAAAAATATGAACTAATCTACTATTTTCTAGGACGAAACGGATCTTTCCTTGCGCTCTCACTCTGAAATGAACTTATCCCGAAACATCAATACTAGGCAAGTTACATCGTATTCAGGGTAAAAACATACATCACATTGCTAAGGTCTTACCTAATGTTGTCGATAAAACACGAAAAACCAACAGGGAGAGAAAGAGAAAAGTCGTTGCCTTCATCCTTTAACTTGTAGTTAAACGCTGGGGATTGCGACTGCGCATAACGTAACGCATAACGATAACGCATAACGCATGACTTTTTTCCGCATAACGTAACGCACCCCTTCCCAAAATCCTCAGGCAATAGCTAACGACAGCGTCTGGTTCCCTAGCGTACACCATGTGCGTTTACTAAATTTCTTGTATTGAGAAACGCCTGTAATCTAGAGAGCAAGGGCCAAAACAAGCCAAATTTATGCAAAAGCTTAGCGAAAAGAACGGTTTCTACCATCAAAAAAGCTTCTGTAAACAAGGATTTTAATCTTTGTAATCACTTAGGACTGGGAACTAGTTTAGTCGAGTGTTTTAGTCAATAAGGTATATGGAAATACCTTTTACTCAACTACAATACAATTCCGAGAAAAGGATATACTTCTGGGAACAATGTGAAACCGGTTAAACCGGAAATTTCCAGAATCTTTGCTTTTTTAAGCTGAACCGAAGCTGAAGTTGAACACAGAGAAGTCAATCTCTCGAGACCATGGCTACGTTCATTAATGGTGTTCAACAAAGTTTAAGCGTCCTTATGTTAAGCCAACTCATTTGCTCAGCACCAGGTATATTTTTTTATTTTGGTTCTATTTTCGTCTCTTAATTTTTCTTTCTCCTTTTCTTATTTTTTTCCTTTTTTTCTTTTTCAACAAATATTCATTATTCAAGGAAACGAAATACTAAAATTTCGAGTCTAAAATGAATGGCACTTCCCTGTGGTAAAACTATATTAGGGGAAAAGTTTGATATTTGTGGGATGTTAAAATAAATTATGGATTTATTATGACGAATGTGATTCAGAAAAAAATTATCCTGAGCGATAAATCGTGCAGTTAAGCCGTTGTTGTTATTGGAGATGGAGCGCTTAGAACGAACATCCATGCTGCAGCAGCGTGCAGCGCTTCCGTAACCCCTTACGTTATATCAACCTGAGCGCCAAATTTTACCGTTACGGACCTTTGGTGGTAGGTCACTAAAGCTTAGGCAAGGTGCTCAAGCTTTGCTGGTTAAAAATGCCAATGGTTGAAAAAAATCATGAAATTTCGTTCAGAGAATCGAGACTTCAGCTGTGATTCAAGGACTGCAATACAATGAAATTCTTAGAAAATCACCAAAGGAAAAACAAACGAACAAAAAGGTGCAATGCGAAGAAAAAGGAAACAAAAATGAGGTTTTTGCTTCGTACAAGAGATCATTCTCCTTCTCCAATACAGTAAGATTCACGAATGACTTCATGACTAAAGAGTGTTGTCCTGCCAATTAAATATTCATACAACTAGACGAATGTAAATTTTTATCAGAAAGCCAGGGATTTGAAAGGTGTGTTGTCCAAGCGTAAACAGCGAGCAGAGCTTGAAAGCCATGATAACGAGTAAAATTCAGTAACCCGTACAAGGTTTTAGCGACTATGAAAAGGAAATTTCTGAAAATGATGAAGATACCTCTAATAAAAACAAAATATATGGTTAAGTTTGTTTCCTCAGTTGGGTTTTGATGTCATGTGATGAAAATAATTTAACTAATAAAGTATTTTTTCATCTGTCTGTAAAGCAAAAAGGAGCTATACTTGTGGTTCCAATACGCTTGATGATGGCTGCAATATCAGTGATGATTGCGATATAGTTAGATGTAAAATGAAGTTTGTCGAAAAAGCAATGACATACAAGTTGGAGGTATTTGAGTTCATAAATTTTGTAAGTTATTCATCAATTTTCAAAGAAAGTATCGAGAGTGCCCTGGACGACAAAAACGTAACACTGTAATAGTATATTTCAACATTTAAATCAACCCAAAAATGATTGAAATGAAAGCAGAATGCTTATTCTTTCCAGTCTTCCATTGTCACC